ACATGGAGTCGGACTGCAGACCCGTATTGAAGTCCGCTGCGCGATTTAACCCTCCAATCCATCTCGGCCAATCCATGAGCTCATTTCTATTTTGGAAGTTGCCCGCTCGCGATCCGCGCCTCGTTATCATTGGCCAGTTCCAAACACTTGGCGAGCCACGCGGGTTGACGTCCCCCAACTGGCGGCTAGCTAACGTCAGACTCCAATGAATGTGCATTTGTTGCAATGACCTGCACAAAAAGAAGTCCCGGTCCCGTCGTACCACCAAAGAAGGGACCGGGGAGGAATAAACGTTTTCCGTACGCACGTGTGTTCGAATCAGACGCGACATGCAGGAAGTGAAGGAGGAACTGCGGGCCGAGAGAAACAAACGACAGACGCTGCAGGTCAGACGAGCCGACCACATTACTCGTGATTCAAAACACGACTGAGCCTCCCTGTCTGTGTGTGTGTGTGTGTGTGTGTTTTTTTTTCCATGCAGGAGGAAGTCCACGTGTTGAGGATGAATCATTAATCTCAAAGCGCAACGGATCACGCAGCAAGCCCCTGGACCGCAAACAAGCTCGCTAAGCAAGGACCGCATGAAACCTCCTGACAATGTCGCGCCATTAAATTGATCGGTGCGCAAATTTGAAGGGGCAAACAAAGTTTGTTCTGCCAGGCTTGCTCTCGTTTCTTTTTCATTTTCCCCTTTTTTTTGTTTGAATAATCGACGAGAAGAGAATATGCACTGTGTGAGAATTTTGGGGGGGGTGATTCTATGCAAGTCGGGTCACATTGACCCTTGTTAGTAAGAAGCACCGCAGGAGGGCAAAATGTCTTTTTGTTGTCTCTCGTTTATATCAGTATACGTGTCCTGGCTTTTATTGTATGACATTTACTCATAAGATGCAATAAGAACAGAGGAGAAAATGTATTTTCTGTATTCCGTTCATAGTTTTGTTCGCATTTGTCCAAGGATGCCATTCTCATAATCTCCACGTGGGGGAGCCATTGGGCTCATAAAAGATTCCGTTTTGGGTTTGGTTGTTTTTTTTTTTTTTTTTTTGTTTTTTTGTGAGACGTGGGTTTTGAAACGCAGTTGGCGGCATTTTGCATGATTTGCTTTGGGGTTGCAGAGCTTTAGGCCTCTCTGCCCCCCCCCAAACGCTGCAACTCGCTTCCACCCACCATCCGTTTTGTTGTTTCTCTTCCCAC